ATGGGAGCAACCTTGCCCCAGGAAATACACCTTGACTGGGAGGCCGGAGCAGGAGTTCATCCCAACCAGTTTCCTCTGAAGGTCCTTCCACACAGAGCAAGGGCACAGTTACACACGCAACTGACTGGTAGCAGTACGTGTAAGATGGGTATCAGGCAGTGAGGGAATGGACCTCCTTGGAGAAAGGAACCTGGAGAGCAGACTTCTCGAGATTTTTATGCTGGGAACCCTGCAGTTCACTAAGTGGCTTGGGGTGTCAGATGATGCGCACAACCATTCCAATAGGATCTTCCAGAGAGCTACTCCCAAGGCCCTCCAGACTAGCCCTCCGAACTACGCAGTGGTTCTCTGGTCAAAAGCTGGAAGCAAGTTCACAAGACTCCCAGTTTGTTCTTCTGGGGTGCAGAGCCCTCAGCTCATGGGAGCCATTAAAGGGAGACCCAAGTGTGAGTAGTATCGATGTGAGGTCTCCCATCTCTCCTGAAGGGCTCAGCGACTTTGCATCAGCATCTGTCACCTCTCTGAACAGGGAGCTCTGATTCCCCTGGGGAGGTGCTCACCCAGTGGACATTAAGCAGAAAGGCAGTAGGGTTGCTTAATTACTAAGGTAATTACTGAGTTCATCTCATGAAAGGGGCCGTTTCTATGTCCTACTTTCTCGCCCATGTCATTAGCCTTGTATGTGGGTGAATTTGTTTGGGAAGTCCAACGACTTCTGCTTGTAATTCATCTTGCAGCACTACCATGAAGCTTCCTGTGAGCTGAGACTCAATGCTGAGAAGCCACTCTGTGATGCACGAATCCACAGCTACCCAGCAGCCCCTGCACCACAGGCCTCCCATGCGTCATGTTCTCAGACCTCCGCACTTCTGCGTTGCTTAGCAGGAGTCCATGACAGACGCATCTGTGAGATGTCGAGACTGACAGTGGATTAACCACTGGCAACTCAACGAGTCGGAGAGAAAACACAGCACACAGAAATGGAAATGCCAGCGTTGCTGAGTCGATGCCACTGCATCGAGGCTGAAGAAATTCCGTTTCTTTGACATTTAACAGATTAGAAGCAAAGAAGTTAGAAACTGCTGCCCCACCCCAGCTTCACCTTGATTTTCATGCTATCCGTGTGCAGATGCTGTGTGCTCCGACTGGACAATGCTAAGTTTGGAACTCAAATTACCACACCGAAGTGGGCACACTCTATTACTGGTGAAAGGCAGATTAAGTCAATGAACACAGAGTCATAATCTTTTAATCTGAAACCCAGATCTTAAAGATGGAGCAGTCTTGAATGAAAACAAAGGTGTTACACCATTTCATTTCAGGAACATCGAAATGCCCTGGTCTAGGGTAGAACACTCCATCTTTCAAGTGGGCATTCATTTCTTTCACTTTGATTCCAGGGGGGCACACAGTATTTCTTCAATCTGGACTCCTTTGAAAGCAGACAGAGGCTGCCAGTTGGCCAGGAGATAGCAGGTGCCACTCATGGGCCTCTACTTGGCTTCCCAGCAACAGAGAGGGCTTGTTACTAATCTCATCTCATTTAATTTTCAGAGCAACACGGAAAGGCTAACAGGAGGGGAAGCTTAAACGGAGCTATTCTAAGCACTTCGCAGATAATCAGTGGGTAGTAAGCGCCAGTAATATTTTTAGTACATTATTTCATAAGGAAAGAGCCGAAGCCGCTCAGCCGTTGGATAGCGTGGTCTGGGCAATCCAGTGAGTCTTTGCTGATCGCCATGAAGAAGCTCACGATCTCTTTTCAATCATGGGGCAGTGTATTCATTTGCAAGAAAAAGACTGAGGCACAGTGAGCTAGATATGCTTGTGCTAACTGGCTCTTTGTTGTTGCTATGTGTGTATGACATGTGTGCATCTTCTCACATGTGTATGTTCACATGTATGCTTACCGGTGGAGGCCAGAGGTGCCATCCTCTTCCTCTGCTACTCCCGGCTTTAATTTTCATTTGTTTAAAAAGTGACAGAGCTCTCACCGACGTATGCAAAGAAAGTGACCATAAGAAATGGCTGGGTGGGTGGCAGGAGCCCGAGTAAGGCCCCATACTCTTCAGTCCTAAGACATCTTTCTATCTGCAACTAAACTCAGAACATACTTACTCAACCAGACTGTCTGGCCAGCAAGTTTCTAGCCTGTCTCTACCTCCCTAGCACGGAGGTTGTAGCACCTGCACCCCGCTGTCCAGCTGATCCAAGCTCAGGCCTTCACGATTGCATGGCAAACACTTTACTGACCGAATCATCTCCCCAGCCCCATGGCCACAGGCTCCGAATCTCATACTCTCAGTCCGTGTGGTTTGTGGGAACCGACAGTTCGTGTCACAGCTTCCTGTCCCTCCCTTGCCACCTTCATTTAGTCATGAGGAATTAGCCTGAGAAGGGATAAAATGAAAATCACTTATAGGTTGGTTTGCTGGACAATTTTATATCAACTTGTCACAGACTAACGTCATCTGAGAGGAGAAAGCTTCAGTTCAGAAAATGCCTCCAGTGTCCAGCTGTAGAGCATTTCCCTAATTAGTTATTAATGTGTGAGGGCCAAGGCCATTGTGGGTGGTGCTATCCATGGGCTTGTGGTCCTGAGTTTTATGAGAAAGCAGCCTGAGCAAGTCATGTTGAATAAGCCAGGAAGCAGCACCCCTCCATGGTCTCTGCATCAACTGCTACCTCCGGGTTCCAGCCCTGTTTGAGTTCCTGTCCTGACTCCTTTCAATGACGGGTGAGAATATGGAACTTTAAGCCAAATAAACCCTTACCAACTTGTTATTTTTTTTTGTCATGGTGTTTCATCATAGTAATAGAAACCCTAAGATAGCTGGCTAGCAACTTCTGACTTGTGGAGTGGTAGCATTGAATAAAATGACCAGAGGATAATCAATGAGATTATTAGCAATCTATTATTATTAGCTAATCAATTATAGCTAATTATTAATTATTGATAGCTATTATTAGCTAATCAATGAGAAAGTAATCAATCAGAGAGGTCCTCAGAAGAGGCATGGGAAATGACTAAGTCTCTAGAGCCACAAATTCAACGGGTGTCTAGAGTTGGCCTTAACCCAACAGAGCGCCGGTTCTGTGCTCCGTGTTCAATACCACTGTGGTCCTACTCCTTGTTCACCTCAAGATTCACCACCACATGACTCGTCAGTGTTAGCTGTCTTGGTCTGAGCAAACTCTGTATCTTATCACCGAGAACCAGATGGTTCCACTTATCTGAATCCGAAGTCCACGGGGTTCCAGTCCTCAGCTAAGGATACGGAGAGCAGGCTGTCCTGGCTGGCGTTGTGGCTCTACATCCCCAGGTGCACTTCAAAGTACAAAGGAGCCTCGTGGGGTGGGTGCTCAGCCCAGCTTGACAAAGGCTAGGAGGAGACCTCATGTTATCTCCTGAAAGCCTCTGAGTGAAGAGTCTACTGGAGGACAAGAGGATCCCATTTGTTCTAGCTCGGTGGGGTCTGATTAAGGAGTGCCTGCAGGGCACAGTCCTGGAGGAGGTACACCCAGCAAGACATCAAAGTAATGAAGGGACAGTAGGCACTCAGCCTTATCCACAGCTCTAATGCAGTAAAAGCAATCTAGTATTTCTCCTTAACCTCCTATGGTTCCTGGAAACAGCACACACGGTTTTGTACTTAAAGTGGCAAGGCATGTTTGCTGAACTCTTATATAATTTTCTTTCTTGTTGGTTATTTTATTTTCCTAGGTCTAAAAAAAAACTTATATATGTAGCTCACATATATCTTTACCCTACTGTTTAAGTAGGGCTTCACAGTTGCTTTCTTTCTGGTTTACTTTGGACTATTTACTGGTCATCTCCAATTTGCTATTTTTCTAACTTATGAAATGACAGGAAGGAAAGATGGGTGGAAAGAGGGCAGCTGTCAACACACACCTTGTCAGGACCCACGAAGGGACCTGTCCTGCTGAAACGATCTTTCCGATTCCTGTTGATTCTGCTATGATTAGACGTTAGCTGTAAGTCCAGTTAACAAGGTATAGGATTTGTAGCCAGGCATATAGGTTGCAGCCTTCAATCTTTCTGCCTTTAACTCGCCTGGTTAACCCCTTCCAGAACAGTTAGAGGAAAATGACTCAAACCACTAAGGCAATCTCAAGTTCAGCAGGATTGCTTGTAAAGTCAAACATACCCTTTCCATATAAACCAGAAACTGACTCCTAATCTGACCCAGGAGTAATAAAAACTATGTTTGTGGAGAGAGAGGAAGAGAGAGAGAGAAAGAGAGAGAAAGAGAGAGAGAGAGAGAGAGAGAGAGAGAGAGAGAGAAGCAGTAGCAGCAGCAGCCCTGCTTGAAGCTAGAAATAACCCATACATTCTTCACTTAGTGAATGTCAGCAGTCAGCACTCCGCACTCTGAGGTACAGTGCAGCGGACTGCTGCTGAGGAGAGAAAAGGAAGAATTGCTGATGTACACGCTGCCATGGCTGAAGCTTCCAGATGTGCTACAGAACTGAAACATATACTCTATGATTTCCATGTCATATTTGAGCCAAGAAAGCTGAGCAATGGTTGTCAGAGGTGAGCACAGAGGACCATGAAAGAATGTGTTTGAGCCTCAGAACTACCCCACATCTGGATTATGGTGGTCAGTACCCTCAGCACTATACACAACTCACAGGGATGCGCATGAAGACAGGGAATCACACTGCATACACATTGCACCTTGGTATAGAAATGTTTTCAGGGTAAAGGCTTAGGAATCAGACTGCATTCAAACCTTGGCTTCTTGTCATTTTGGTCAGGACCACAAGATACTTAATTTTTCTGAGTTTCATTTTCTGGATTTGTAAAACAGAGCTAATAAGTGTAGAGGCTGCTGGGGGAAAGAGAATAAAATAATGTACCCAATTGTTTGCTATAATGCCAAGAACTCCATAAATGGTAGTTATTACTGTCTTCATTCCTCATTAAAGAGTAAGGGGATTGCTTGGGGAAGAGATTTCGAAACAGAGTTGTACGGTTTCTCTTTTAAATGGTAAATACAAGTTTTATTAGGGAGTTTATGAAGAATACTGGAGCCTTATAAAAATGAAGACATATCTTTTACTTCCTCAGCAAAATTTAATCCCCTTTATGAATTCTTCTCCAATCTTCCTCTAAATATTGATGAATGGCTTCATAGTCATTTGTTTACCCTTCTGGAGTAAGTAAAGGCCATGATGAATGAACTTGAGTTCCTGGAAAATAGAGGAAAACATGAACAGATAGATAAATAGCAAGCAGACGCAACACTCCAGCTCCTCTGGTAGCTTCTATTCATCTGGCCATGGAACAGCTGTTTGCACCCAGTACTGATGGTCTGGGGAGCTGGTGTCACCTACAGGGGCAGGAAGATGTCATCCTCAGAGAGCTTGGGTACCACATTCTGTGAAGATCACCAAGTCAGCTTCCTGTGCTTCCTTCCCACCGAAATTTGAATGGTATGTCTCTGTTTGCTGGTCATTTAGGAAAATCACTCCTACTTACCCCACCATGAATACTCAGAGTCTCTGACATTGGATTTTATCTTCTTTTTAAAAAACTATTGACTGATTGATTTTTATAGTACTGAGGGTTGAACCTAAAGCCTTGTGTTTACAAGTTAAGCTACATCTCCAGCCCCTAACTGTTTATTGTGAAATGATAGCTCAGAAATTTTCAGAGAAGAGACAGATGGCCCAGTGCTTCCTTCAGCCAGTTGCCTTTAACTATAAAATTTTATACAATTCTCATTTATCAAGACCAAGAAACAAATATTAGTATACTATCATTACCTGGAAGATAGGCCATATTCAGATTTGAAGCCACAATCCTTAACCATTAACTGAAACTCTTTTCAGTCCCTAACCTTCCAGTGCTTTCTGAAGTCAGAAACAGTTTCTGTCTCTTAAGATTTGAAGCCCAGGATCGAGCTATGGCTTGAATGTATCCCCCAAAGTCCTTGAGCAGAAAATTTTATGTTAATGGTGCATTCCCCCATTGGTCCATGTTCTTCTGATAATCTTTGTCTTCCTAAACATCGCTTAATTTCTACCCAGACTGCCTATGAATTGTTTGTGACTTGAACTCGTGCCCAGCAGGCCAGCTCTTGGCCAGGCTCTCGCTCTCTTACACAGTGTGTTACTGTTAACGTCCTAACACTGAGCCAAACATGATGGTGCATGCCTGTTACCCCTGCACTCAGTTAAGGTGGGAGCATGCTAGCCTGGGCTACATAGTGACACCTAGTCTGAAAAATATAGATAAAATGTCAGCATGGCATCACACCTGAACGCCGCACTTTGAGTCTACATCTGGAATGCTTGGAGATCGTTAGCTGGCCCCTGGTCTTTCTGTTCACAGGGCACGCTACTGCCTCTTTTCCCATCATTCTCTGTAACAGTGCCACACCTTCACATTCTCGATCTCTCTATCCAAACTATACAGTCACTGTATTCCTTTAAATAGTCAGGTTAGTGTATAAGGATCAAGCTGAGGCGAGCAACAACGGTGCTGCTCTTCCACTATTCACACCTATGTAGTGCCCTCTCTTCAATAGACTACATAATCAACACGGTACTCTCTAGGTGCTAACGACTGGCTCTCAAAACAGGATATAAGAGAAACTGCAACATCTGCCTGGGCAACTTAAGACTACTGTCCTATAGGAACGAAGCTACGGGGTCATGAGATCACATAAGTCATTCTGAATTGAAAACTTTTTGTTTGTTTATTTGTTTTAGTCTTGTTTGGGGTGGGGGAGTTTGGGAGACAGAGTCTCACTGTGTAGCATTGGTTGGCCTGAAACTCATTATGTAGACCAGACCGATTTCAGACTCACAGAGATTCGCCTGACTGACTCCTACCTGCTGAGAATAAAGGTGTGTGCCACCATGAGCGGTTTCATGTCATCCACTCTGTGGAAGAGACCATGACAGAAGAAGGGAGAACTCTGCGCATCAGTACACATCAGTATACAAGCCAAGTGACAGATTCACCTTTAAAGTGGAACCCAAGCAAATCCCTGTGACGTAAGCAGTGTTATAAGACTCAATGATATAAACATAACCAAGTGTCCCCTGCATTCCTGGCCCAAAGGAAAAGAAATCAGTTGTAAGTACTTATTGGTGCTTTAATTTGCATCAAGACCATTTATTATGCAGTCATAGATAATTGACATATAATGGATTTGATAGAAGCAGACCGGAGGCCAGGCGACCAGTTGGGAGGTCACAGATAGCCAGGCAAGTGCTGACAAGGGCCTGAATGGCTGTGAGATACAGATGGGGGGCAAAGAAGGCTCCTAGAGATATTTAGGAAGAGAAATCTGCATGAAGCCGAGAGGATGTGGGTGTTCTAGGCGCACGCAATTATTCTCAACTTTCTAGCTTTGCTGGCCAGATGCCAAAAATTAAAATAGAAAAAGCAGTGGGATGATTCCCTTGGAAGAGGCTGATGTGAAGAATTATGACTTTGAACTTGAGGCACACTGAGGTTTCTAGTGGACGCACTGCTAGAGACCATTGCTGCCACCCCTAGGACGCAGTGCCCACACAGCTCCCTGGACTATTCCATCATATCTGACGCAACTAACTGCATCTTACATCTGCAGAGTTTTCGCTTCCTTGGATCAAGACTTTGGGTTGTCCTGGAGCTCTCACAGTTTCTCCTCGTTATTGCAGTCTTTGCCCAGCCAGTGCCAAGGCTCCATCAACCTCTACCCGCTGCGCTCCCAGTGCTCTGCAGCAGGCTCCAGGGTCTAAGATTTATCTCCTACTAGTTGATAGAATGAGGTTTTATTATGAAAGTTTGATAATTGACATAATATCTTTTACAGCGACGTATTCAAATTTCTAGTTGAGATAACATGTTCTAATTAATTATTTTCTGTGATTGTTGCAATGCCATATGTTTGCATATAAACACAGACACACAGGTACACACATGCATACATATCAGAAACATAGACAACTGTGGGGTATAGGGTTCTCAAGAGCCCATGGTAGCCGTATCGTGAGTTAGTCATCAGAACTGTCCTCAAATAAATATTCTTAGTGTTCCCCTGGACAGTAAGAACATGTGCAACTTATGTCTGGCAGTCATAAAAGCTAGCACATCCTTTACCAAGTTTTCTTTCCCTTCCTTTTGATTTTGGGGTCCTGCAGAGCTCGCTGCCAATATGTATGAAGTACAAACACAGGATAAGAATGAATGCTCACTGTATAAGGGCAAAGAACTTAGAAAAAGCAATACTTTCACCCAGCTTCTCCTGCTGGATACAGTTACAATAATATTCCAGCTAATTAAGAATAGATCCCCTAAATTTTTAGGCCCCTGGTATCAGGTAAGTAATATCTGAGCGCAAATGATTTTATATACTGAGCTAAACAAGCCCCCTTGCCTTTCTGGGTTATAAATTACAATTTGAGGAAAGTAACTGAAGGTGTCTGCCTCCGGTTTTCATTTTTAAAAATGGAGATCAATAGTTGGCCTAGAACTAGATTTTCATTTTCAGTTTTAAAACTTGAACCATATTTAGAGTATACTTTAAACCTCTTCTGAGCATCCTTTGGGCTACCAGTGGCTATAAAATGTTCAGAAAATGATCTAAGTTCAAGATTGCTTGAAAGGATTAGTAAAGCATATGTTTTCTTGTGGTAGTAGAAGCAAAGTATAAAAAGGGTACAATGAACTTTATTATATCTCTTTTATCATTTCTTATTAATCTAGTCAACTTTTATAGTATTGGCATAGGAAAATGTCAGAATTCCATTAATTCAAAGTAAAATGGGTTTTCTAAGAGTTATGCATGTACTACATAAGTTTATATGCCTGTGTGCATGTGTGTTTGTATGTGTGTCTGTGTGCGTGTCTGTGTGTGTCTGTGTGAATCTGTGTGTGTATGCATGTGTGTGTCTGTGTGAATCTGTGTGTGTATGCATGTGTGTGTCTGTGTGCATGTCTGTGTGTGTCTGTGTGTGAATCTGTGTGTGTATGCATGTCTGTGTGCATCTGTGTGTGTCTGTATGCATGTCTGTGTGTGTGTGTGCGTGTCTGTGTGTGTGTGTACACTAAGAGGGAAAGAAAGAGAGGATAGACAGGGTGTCACTGTATAATCTAGACTACCCTCAACTCATATGCCTGCATCTACTGCTGAGGGAGAGGATTCCAACCTTGAGTCACCAGGCCTATTGCATACTCTTAGATGAAGGCCTTGTGCAAACTTCTCAAGCACTTCAACACTGCACCTACTGACACAAGGGAATTACACCTGAGGACAAACATGGCAAATGATAGAACGGTCAAGGGAATGAAATCTTCCCAAGGTACTGTGGGTGTCTTCTGGGTCTATATCATTCTCATTAGCTGCATTTTTCTGGAAAAACTGAAAGATCCTTGGAAATGTTCGGCACTCTGAAGAGCAGATGAGGTAGCCCTTGCTGGTTCAGGCTGCTTGCTATATTTGGCTTTTCTGTTGTTGTGGTAGTATTTGGAGACCAAAGCAACTTGAGGAAGGAAAAGGTTACTTGGCTTACACTTGCATATCACAGTCCACCAGGGAGTGAAGCCATGGCAGGTCCTCAAGGCAGGAGCTTGAAGCAGAAAGCAAAGAGGGAGGCTGCTGACTGACTTGGTCTCCGTGACTTTCTTGGTATGATTTTTTTTATATGAACCATTGACTCAGTGGTTCCAGGGCCCACAGTGGACCCGGCACTTCAATCACTAATCAAGAAAATGCTCTACAGACCTGGCTGGATAGTGACAGCTTTTCAACTGAGACTCCATCCTCCCAGGTGACTCTAGTTGATGAAAACTAACAAACACTGTTATGAGAAAACAGACACACTTAAGCAGAGGATACCCACTTCTCAAAGTTCTGTGGCTGGATGGAAGTCCAAAGCCAGGGTGCTGGCAGGGGCAGGTTCTGGTGACTGATTCCTTTCTGGCTTCTAAACAACTGTCTTCAAACTGTGTGCACAAATAGTCTTTCTTGGATGTGGAGAAAGAAAATCCCTCTTTCTCTTTACACTAACAGGTCCAACCACGAAAGCAACATCCTATGTCCTAACCTAAGCCCGCACACCTTCAAAGGTTCCATCTCCACACACCATCACATTTTAGAAGGAAACACAAATATTTAACCTCTAACTACATGATAATTTTTTGAAAGTTATAAATCAACACAGGTACTGTTGGGCAAAGAATTTAACATGTAAGT